ATCCATAGCTCATAGCCAAAAATGGAAAAACAATCCCAGGAAAGAAAATTCTGTTAGATTGTTCACCTCAGAAAAATTTCACCCTCTCCAGATTTTTAGTTTATTTAAACTGCTTTCTTATGTCTTTAAAATATATTTCCCCAACTTATCTGCCTTTTGTTATTGTAGCAGAAACGGTATTCACCATGATCTATTACATCTTAGTTAGAAACAGAAACCTCTAGGTCCGTGAGTGATTTCTTAATTCCATTTCCTCCTTATTTTAGAGCATTTTATTTCTTCCTCAGTTACATTTTTAAGGCTGCATATTTTGTTATCCCTCATTTTTCTGCAGCCTGAGAAATAGTGGAGGCAGAAGTAATGTTCAATTGAGGAGACAGGCAATTTCTGGGGTCTGCACTTTCTTCTAAGAGTTTACTATATATTACATGCAGTATAAAAAGGCTCATTCTCTCCACTTAGAAACTGTATTTCATTCAAATGGAAGGGGATCATTTGGATAGTTTCCACAATTCAATATGTAGAACTAGAACCTTCACTGTGTCAATGTGTAAATCCCAGAGTTCATTTTCCACATTTTATTCATATTACTATGCAGTTGCCACTTCTACTGTTTCTCTAAAATGAAAGAAGGAGGAAAAAAAAAAAACAGAACACATACACTTACTAGTTTTTCAGCCTTGGAAATATTAGTGATAATTCTCAGTACTCTGTCAACTCACTAGCACAGTAGGTGGGGACTGGGGTTGGATTAAGTTGCTATATCATGTTTTGCCTTTTCTCTCTGAAATCTTCAGTTTCCTTCCTTGGCCATCATTTTTTGAAGTTTATTAAATCCAATTACATTATTTTTGTGTTGTTTGCTCTTGGTGAACATTTTTACACTAGTTTTTATTATTTTATACTCATTTAAGTATCGGGGGAAATTCTATGAGTTGAACTCAATCCACCATTTTTTTAAAATTTTATTTTATTCAGTTGTAGTCAGTTTACAATGTTGTGCCAATTTCCAGTGTAGGGCATAATTTTTCAGTTATACATGAACATACATATATTCATTGTCACATTCTTTTTCACTGTGAGCTACCACAAGATATTGTATATATTTCCTTGTGCTATACTGTATAATCTTGTTTATCTATTCTATATATGCCTGTCAATATCTACAAATTCCGAACTCCCAGTCCGTCCCTTCCCATCCCCCTCCTCCCTGGCAACCACAAGTTTGTATTCTATATCTGTGAGTCTGTTTCTGTTTTATACTTATGTTCATTTGTCTTTTTCTTTTCTTTTCTTTTAGATTCCATGTATGAGCGATCTCATATAGTACTTTTCTTTCTCTTTCTGGCTTACTTCACTTAGAATGACATTCTCCAGGGACATCCATGTTGCTGCAAATGATATTATGTTGTCATTTTTATGGCTGAATAGTATTCCCCTGTATAAATATACCACCTCTTCTTTATCCAGTCATCTGTCGATGGACATTTAGGTTGTTTCCGTGTCTTGGCTATTGTAAATAGTGCTGCTATGAACATTGGGGTGCAGGTGTCATCCTGAAGTAGGGTTCCTTCTGGATATATGCCCAGGAGTGGGATTCCTGGGTCATTCTATTCCTAGTCCTTTGAGGAATCTCCATACTGTTTTCCACAATGGCTGCACCAAACTGCATTCCCACAAGCAGTGTAGGAGAGTTCCCTTTTTGCCATAGCCTCTCCAGCATTTATCATCTGAATCCACCATTTTAATTTGGATATATTCAGTTTACTAATACCCTAAAGGTTAAACTTGGATATTGAATTTTCTAACACTATGACCATTAGACTGCCTGGCTGCTTATAAAAGAGTTAGACCCAGCCTTTTTTTCATACTGCCTATTTCCACTGTCCTGACTATGCCATGTTTTAAAGAGCTACTATTTTTCAGATCCACTCACTTAAGTTATTAAGTCAGTTAACACTGATGATTATTTTGACATATATACAATATGAAGGAAAACATTAGACTCAGAATAAGGAAAAGGGATGTATATACAACTTTTCAGTTGTGTCTGATATGCAAAATACTTCTAAATCAAGCTGGAAGGAATAAAACTAATTATTTTAGAAGAATATAAGAAGGCAAATTTCTACTTGAAAAATCTTTTAATATAAAAGTATGAAGGTACTTTTATAAACTGCTTGGAAACTGGGGGTATAGTGAAGAGAAAACATTCTCTAAATGTTCCTATCAAAACTATGAAGGTTCAGGAAGAACCTTCTGATTTTGGCAGAAAATTTATTTGACCATCATAGAAAGTTTCCTAAAAGGCTACAGTAGAAAATAAAACTTGAAGACTTAAAATGAGTTAATGAACACTTTCTAAAGTTGTGTCATAGGATTTTGTGACCAGAGTAGTGCCTATTTCTATTTATGAATGAGGAAAAGAAAATCTCAGAAAAGTTCATTTACTCCATATAATAATGACATGGATATTTCGCAATCAAGTATCATCTGCAATCAAAATTCTAAGTTCTCTAGTATTATCTACCTTTGCCTTTCCTAGACAGTATTTCAAGTATAGATCATATATTCTTTCCATGACCGAAAAAGAATTAAATGCCAAAACAGAAAAAGTATCAGGATTATAAAGTAATAAGCTGCTAAATTACTTTTATATAGTTACTTAGTAGTAAATATTAACATTTTCTGTTATTCTAGCAAGTACTCTACCTGGCTATGATTCAGCTGTATACCAGGCTAAACCAATTATTTTCACACTTAACTTTCATAAAGAGTACTGTACTATAAAATATAATCATAAACACCAATTCCTTTCTTTCTCTACTGCCATTAAGTTTCAGAGCTATGTAGACTAAGCCAACTTTACTATTAAGTAAAGGAAGCAATGTAATTATAATCTCATTAGTATTCAATCATGGCTTTTCACACTGACATAAAACATTTCATGGTAGTTATGACATCTTGGATAAGGTACTTTCTCAAGGAGTTTGGTCTCCTTATCTGTAAATGAAACTGAATCAGACAATCTCTCTTCTACTTCCCAAAACTTTCCACATTTGTCCACAGATTTTATAGTAATTAGTTGACTCTTCCCAATGTCTAAAAAAATCCTTCACATTCTTCAGATTTTTTTCATTTTGATTTACTTAGTCCTAATAAAATATCCCAATGATCTTTAAATAAAAATATAAAAGCTTGTAAGTATCCATAGCAGGAAAAAAAATTAAGAAATTTATGTTACATTTCTGTTTCTAATCAAGTCCAAAGGATAGGTATCTTTTAAAAACTCTAATAACTCAACTACAAGTACTTATGTTAATACAACAAAGAATTGAAAGTGTCCATCAATAGATAACTGGATAAAGAAGTTGTGGTATATTTATACAATGAATACTACTCAGCCATAAAAAATAATGCCATTTGCAGCAACATGGATGGACCTGCAGACTGTCATCCTAAGTAAGCCAGAAAGAGAAAGAAAAATACCGTATGATATCACTTATATGTGTAATCTAAAAAAAAAAAGATAAATGAACTTATTTATAAAACAGAAATAGACACACAGACATAGAAAACAAACTTATGGTTACCAGCAAGGAAAGGGGATGGGAAGGGATAAATTGGGAATTTGAGATTTGCAGATACTAACTAATATATAAAAAATAGATAAACAACAAGTTCATAATGTATAGCACAGGGAACTATAGTCAATATCTTGTAGTAACTTACAGTGAAAACAAATATGAAAATGCATATATGTATGTTCATGTATGACTGAAGCATGATGCTGTACACCAGAAATTAACACAACATTGTAAACTGACCATACTTCAATAAATATATATATCTATATCTCTAAATAAAAGTAAAAAATAAAGAATTGACAAGTTTTTTTCACAGAAAAATTATATAAAACTCAGTTGAGTATTCCATAGATATTAATTACTAACAGCTACTAATAACCTATAGAAAGATAAAACTTACTAATCTTAATAAACTAAATAGACTGTGGGTGTATAGATGAAGCAGATAACTAAAAGCTTTGCTAGTTGGGACTAAGTTTCTAACTGTGAATATAAAAAGTATACAAACTAGAGTTCTCAAAGTTGTATTAAGATGAATACTTATTTGATAATTTAAGGATAACTATAAATTTTATATGAAAACTTTGCTGAATAAATGAATGAATTCTCAACCATAGAAATAGTGTTTGGCACATAGCAAATACTCAATAAATCTATGTTGAATAAATGAATGAGTTAAGATCAAGTGTCTTTTTTGGAGGGTGGGATGTGGAGGGAGGTAATTATCTTTACTTACATATTTACTTTTTTTTAATGGAGGTACTGGGGATTGAACCCATGACCTTGTGCATGCTAAGCGTGTGCTCTACCACTTCAAGCTATACTCTCCCTCTGATCAAGCATCATTTTGAAAAATAAGACCAAGAAAATTTTAAATGCTTGATAAACATGTTACTGACTACTTACAGGCACAAAAGTTTCAACTGAGGACTGGAATACTCAGTTCAAACCAAATGAAAATATAAATAGCTCTAGTCAATAAAAAATGTGAAAGGTTCTTATCTCAATGTACAATCAATATTCTGCCATTATATCTTCAGACAGGAACAAAGTTGAAATTACATAGTCTCTCAAGATTCAATTTAAGATATTAGAAATATAAATGAGAAAATCATGCCTTATTTATTTCCCCCCTTATTCACTGAACAGATATTTACTGAATACTAACCACAGCAGGTGCTTATTCTTTTTCTTCTTTTAGGTCCAGGGGATTGAACAAGCCAGAGAAAGATCAGCCAATATTGTATTAAAAGGAAAGTTTCTGTATGTCAACTGCCATAACTTATTTTCCATTTAATTCCTATTGTTCCATGCACAATGTATATTTATAATATCCAGCTCAGCTTTATATATTTATTTCTTCTAAAAGTAAAACAATTTTTATCATTTTCATAACAGTACATTAAATTGTACCTTAATTTTTTTCTCTTGCATTGACTTATGGATGCGTTCTCTTAGGGGTTTCACCGATGAATTATTCACTTGTGTGGGAGATCTATGCCCAAAAAAAGCAAAAATTTATAAACCAAAGTAGCTTTTGTCTCTCCCCTAACCAAAAGCAGTTATAAAATAAAAAATATTCTAAACAACTGAAGCTAGTTATTTATAATACTATGTAAGAGTGTCAGTATTCCTATCCTAAAAGTTCTAAATATTAATAATTTGCTTAATTAATTAGTTCAGTCACTAAATATTGAGCTTCTACTATATATATGGCATTCTATAAGATATTGTGAAGGATAGAAAGTTCATTCATTCATTGGCCCTTAAATTGAGGCATCTTTATCTAAGTAAGGGAAATATGATATCTACATAACTAAAATTCAAAATAAAAAAGGACAGGTGCCATAGCAGGGGAATTCGAAAGAGAAAAACATAGTTTAGAAATAGGAGGGTCAGAGAAGGTATAATAGAGAAGGAGACACTGGTGCTTTGAAGTCAGACAAACCTGGATTCCTCAATAAATTCCTTTTTGGCTTAATAGAGCCAGAGTCATAACCCCTTCAACTCAAAAGACCAGGATAAGAATAAAGGATAGTCTATTCTAAGAATGACTAGTTTATAACCCTACAGTGACTTACATTCATACACTACATTGTCCTTAATTTTATCATTTCAATGCAGACCATTAAAAATTTACTTTACCATGGACTAGTACTTGTCTGCACAATGTTAAGGTAAATATAAACAATTGAAATATGTTTGGCCACATGATTGAATACAGAAAAAATACCTCTTTAAAATGGATGTGGGAATTAATTTTGTTTAGAAAATCCTATAAAGACAAAATAACTTTCTTGAAAAAAAACAACAATTCAATCTGAGAGAAAATTTATATCATTTATATTTCTACCTAAAGAAAACTTTGTTGAACAGAAGGTAAAAGGAGGAAAATACGAAGGTTCATTTTCTTTATAGTATTTCTGGGATTCCAACACAGGGTATAAATAAATCATTGATAAAATAAACTTTCATTATAAAGGAATTAGAGGACAATACTGAATGATAACGCATTATAAAGTTTCTCTTTAAAGAGAAGAAAAAAGATGGTGAGGCACAGGGGAGAGAGTGCATAAAGAAATGATGGAAGGATATGAACAATTTTAGACTAAAATCAGATCTCTAAAAAGTAGCTCAAGCAGAAAATAGAAAAGATCAAACAGAATGATTTTGTAAAAAACCCTCCACAATGTACTAAATACAATTTAAAAATTTTAACTGTTCTATAAATGAATGTTTATTAACTAAATGTATCACCAATTGTTGTTAAAACTGGATAGTATCAATAACTTGCACAGAATACCAACAATAATTTCACTGTAAGTTTAGCATACATGCTCTCTGCTATTCTCAGGCAGAACAGCACAATCCTTGGAGCAGAGACCTTAGGCTCTGGAGAAAGACATCTTTGCTACTTGCTAACAGATTACTTAATTTCTCTCAGGTATTTAATTTTTCACATAGGAAATGGGGATACTACTAAAAGAGACTGTTATGAAGGAAAGCATTTAGCAAAGTTCTTGATACAAGTATTTAAGCAAATAAATATATTTCCAAGGCAAAAACACAAGAACAAAAAAAAACAAAAACAAACAAACAAAAAACCAGTGTTACACTCACAAAATACTGTCTTTTTATACATAACTCTCTCACATTCAAATGTTCAATTTCCCTTTAACTAACTTTGTTTTTTCTCTTCATATAATCTCCAAGTTTCCTACCATAGCATGTATTTCTTTTATAACCAATGAGGTGTTTTTTCAAAAATTTCCTTTTTAGAGTGCAGATAACTTTCACATACATATATCTTTCACATTTCTTACCTAAAAAGTGTAAGAATAGAAGTTCCATTATGATGAATTGTATTTTCATCATCATATAAAAGCTCTGCTTTGTTTTTGGTAGGAGCACTGGCTGCTTCTTCATCCAACAGAACTAATAAAGTTTTCACAGTATCTCTGCCACAGTATGCAGTGCCATGGTTTATGGCATGAGATTTTGGCTAGAACAAAAAATAATTTCAAGTAAATGAATAATCACCCAAGCTGGGTCAAGAAGCCACTCTTTTCCATTTCATGTGCTATTGGTTCTCCTTCCTTCTCTATTAAATTATAAAAAAATCAGCCATAAGAAGTGGCACGTGAGTATTTCTCCCTCAAGTCATCCTAAAATCAATCTCATGAACTTTCAGAAGCACAAAAGAATACAGAAAATAGCACCATCAAAAGCAGACATTAGGTTCTGGTCAAAATAACATTAGGCTTTAAGTCAGAAAATTTAGCTACAGTCTATGTGACTTCAGCACCATGAATTTACCTCTCTGAGTATTTTTTCTCTCTTATACCAGAAGCAGGGTTCTGATGATCTGAATACCAACTCCACAGAGGGCTGTAAAGATCTACTCAAATGCTAAGACAAAAAACTAGTAGGGGGGTTGGGAAGGGACAGATTGGGATTTCAAAATGTAGAATAGATCAACAAAATTATACTGTATAGCACAGGGAAATGTATACAAGATTCTGTGGTATCTCACAGCGAAAAAAAA